TTAGTTGAATCTGATCAAGTTAGTTCAAAGGGTCTCCACACACAGAGATTAGATTATGCGCTTACAATTGCAACAGATTTCCGCTGCACTAAAACTTGGATTATATATACATATATACATATATAGTTGGCTCTACCAACAACTTACCCAGGGCAGATCGGGCGATCAGTAGCACTGCCAGCAGCAACAGCAATTGATTCTTTCGGACTGTTCCCGACACCATTTTCGTAGTTCTCTCTTAACTGCTCGACACTCGAAAGTAATATGATAATGGAGATTGGGGAATATATTCTGGCAACGTTCTTAAACTGTGTCACACGTCTTCGCCTTCGTCTTCGTCTTGACTGTTGCTTGTTTATTATTCTTGAGATTTCCCACAAAATCACACAAATTATTGCCGAGTAATTAATTTTTGAAGTTGATTTCGTTGCCGTTCAATGTCCCAATTTTCAGCCTACATATTCAGCACTTTTCCACAAAAGAAGCGTAATTACTCTGCTTTGTAGTTATTTATTTAATCTCTTCTTCTTGCGTTCTTTCTTTCTTTATTTTTTTTTGTTATTTTAGTATTTTGATTTCTGGCTGCGTTCACACTTCACTCAATCCGGCACAGATAAACGAGCTTCACCAAAAAACTTTCTGTGTTCACAGTTAATCCAGGGGAAGAGTTCCAGCCGATAACGTTCCGATCTGCGTCTACGCACAAAAGTTGACTGCACGAACTCGCCTCTGTCGCATTGTTGGCGAGGCGCGAATTTATGAATTTAACTTTTCCAATTCGTTCGTTCGGCTTTCGGCTTTTGTCTGTTCGGCTTTCGGCTCTCGTCTGTTCGGCTCACTGGGATTCACTGCACTGTTTGCCGCAAGAGCGCTGAAGCGAATGCCGTTCGTCGCATAGTTGTTGGCCACAGCGTTGTGTTGGTGGTTGAAGAGAGAGCGAGGCAGAGGCAGTGCACAATGTCAGAGAGTTTGGCTAAAGAGAGCCGAAGCTATATTTAAAGAGAAACGTGCACTGGCTTCCATTGACGTTAACGGCTGTTATTCCATTACAAATTTAAATTGCAATTGATGAAGGATAGTTTAATTTACAATCATATTTATTAATTAATTAATATTTATTTATACAAAATTATGAAATATAAGTTTCAAATCAATATTGAATTATTATTTTAAAATTTTGTTTGTTAAAATAATTAAACATTTAAATAAAAAAATATACAAAATAGGTACTACAATAATATTGTTGAATTTATTTTTTCTATAACATAAATATTTTCATATAGAAATTATTATTACAAATTCTGTAGGGTATATCTATTGAAATATTATCATGAACTTTACCTTTTTCCATATGATGTCTGAACTTATGAACCATGTCTGAAAACCGTTGAGGCGAGTTTCCAAGTTTCCTGGCATGTTCTCAATCCGAGCATGTGATTGACGTGTTTTTCTAATCTAAAATCTAAATTATTCATTTGATGCATCGTTAATCGTTTCAAGTCATTAAAAATTACTTACCTACAGATGATTATTTTGCTACCGAACCAGGCAGTTGTTTTCAGCATATATAAGCTTTTCTGGTTTGCTCAATTGCGGAAATGCCAGGCAAAAATACCTTAAGTAATCAGCTAATGGAATGTCTACAATATATGGAAACGTTTACAAAATAATAATCATAGGAACATCTGATTTACAAGTGCTCCCAGCTGGTTTCCTGATTGATTTTAGATTTCACTGTTGATATCTTGCTTGAGACACGAAAAGAAAAACTGTACTTGGATTAGCTTTAATAAATTAATAAATTTAAGATGTATACGCCTTCAGAAAGTGAAAGGACTATATTGGTGTTATGTTATATCCGTATATGCTTTATATAAATTGATTTCTATATATGTATATAGTATATCTATTATTTATACGGATTCTTTTGACGTAGCAAGGTAAAAATCTGTTCAAATCTAATTTTTCCTTTAGCTTCTATTGTCCATCTATCTTTATATTCTATCTACTATCTAATATTCTATAATTTCTATTTTCCTTCTACTTATATCTACTACCTACTATCTAGTATATATCTTCACTGATTGAAAATTGAAAATTCTAGTAGTTAAATAAAGCAATATCAAGTTATTTATGCTAATTAACGTTCGCAACTCCCATTTATGTATTTAAAATTTAACATTTAGCGGAAAGGAATCTCTTGCTCAGAATGCAGGCTAAACATATGTGAAACATACATATCTGACACATTTAAACAAATATGTTAACATATATACATACAAATACGTTGACATATATAGTATGCACTCTATGTAGGTTAACTGAAAGGCAATCGGTTGGCAATTAATTTGGTATTCGGCTCGCAAAATGGCATGCAAAAGTAAATGCAATTATATCATGTTCATCTGCTTAAGGCATTCCTGTGCCAAATACTTTCGTATTTATTGGGCATTGCAAATTTTCGTAGCGAGCAATTTGCTGGCGTTTTCCATTTAAATATGTTCTACATGCTGCAGTTTCTCAGAAGAGACGCACAGACGAGCTGCGATGCATGAGCTGCACTGATGCAGTCTCCAGTTGCAGTTTGCTTAATGAAATTGCAGCGTTCCCAGCAAAATGTTTTGTATGGGAAGCCGGACGATTGGCAAGCGTTGCTGTGATTTACTCCAGCAACAGTCCGAGAGGCTGACTGGGGGAGCAGATGCAGTTACATACACATACACATACACATATGATTGCTCGTGTGGGCAGACAGTGTCTGGCAATAACTGTATGAGAAGACACATGTAACATGCAATGCAACATTTGCTGATGTCTTGTCGAGTTGAAGCGAGACAAACAAACAATTAAAATTAATCTACGACCATAAAACAAAGTGCGTATTGTGCGAGAGTATCTCGCGGATGCATTATGCATATCTATCTATGTGTCTGTGTGTGTGTGTGTGTGTGTGTGCACATTCATCTTGTTGTTTGTGTTGCCTTATGTTGGGGACTGTTGTTGGTTGGGCTGCCTGGTTGCCAAGTTTTGTAAACATCCGCAAAATCTCCAGATTTGGGGGCAGCAGCATCTGAGATTTTCTTCGTTTTTTTTCCATCTCCAACTGCACATGTTCGCGCCTGCAGCTAAGCTGAGCAAAGCAATGCGAGGATATTAATCAAATATTTATATTTACACGTAGACAACGCACACATTGTTGCTGGTAGGCAGAGGGGCGGAGGCGGCGGCAGAGGCAGAGGCAGCTACGGCGGCGGCATTCACCAAATTTTCTGAGAATTTCTTTACAACTTTGAAAACAAATTAATCAAATAAACAACAGCGACAATTCAGATATATGTATGTATGTGTGTGTGTTGGTTAAAAGCTGTGCAATGTCTGCATAGAGCAACAATCAAACAAGATCTTTCTAGCTTCTAGCTGCCTCTTATCTCAGTCGCTGCGCAGACTCCACAGCCGCCGGCTAAGAGAGCCGCAATGGACGACAGCAAAGAGAGCGTTAGAAATTATGTTGAGTTGGCAACGCGAGTCACACGTACAGTCGAGCAAATATGTTGTGACCGAGTGTGTGTGTGTGTGTGTGTGTATTGGTGTGTGGGAGTGTGTGTCGGGGGTTGTTTTGATGGTGTTTGTGCAAAAGAGCAGTTCATGATGGATGAAACAGGACCCACGGCCTCAGCAAAAAAGCAACTGAAGTAATTGTTTGGAATTGGAAGTGTCAGCAAATGTGCGAAAGAATTTCAATCTTCCACCGAGCAATATACTCACTCCACATATGTAAACATGCACTGAGAAAAATGGGAAGAGAGAATAAATTCAAAACAACTTCTACAACAAATAAATAATATAAATGAAAAAGGCAAAATTTAAGAATATAATAATAATAATTAACAATTAATTAATTAAAATTATAGATAAAAATATAAAAATAATATTAATCAAAATTTTAGGTGTATAATATTTTAGAAGCAATATATTAAATAAATAATATGTGCATATTGAAAAGAAATAAATTGTAATATATTTATAATAATTATTAAACTATTTTAATAAAAAGTATATCGCCAAAATTTGTATATACTAAAAAAAATTTATTGAATTTATTTTATTAACTATATATTTACTAATAATAATCTACATAAAATAAATAAAAATTTAATTTATTATCTATATGTTTATATACAACTATTAATAAACCATTCTATTAATAATAAAATAAATATATTAAATTATTTTTAATACTTGCTTATAAAATTATAAGTTCAGTAAAAGTAAAACACTGTTACTGGTTAATGATATATTATTATAAATAAAAACAAATTAATAAATATTAAAAAAAAAACAACAATAATCAGATAAAGAAATAAATGATTGCGATAGATATAAATATAAATAATGTAAAGACTTTACAATATGATTTTACTTTAATATTTGTTTATTTTTTTCAAATTTAATAATACTTGAATATATGTATATTATTGATATTATCATTATCGTTTAAATTTATTTATAATATATTTCATAGCTGCTTCCTTCACAGTGTATTTCATATTGCACTGACCTAGGAATCGTAACGTTCCTGCACACATAGCACACAATATACAGCCACATACACATACTCATACACACACCATACCCATACACATACGCATTGTCATGTGAACACCCTCGATAAGTCAACAGCTTTACGGCATTTAGGCCATGGGCTGACTTTTATTCTGTGGAGTTACATTTTGCGGTCGCATTCGCGCATGGGCATGCGATGCATACCAAATGCCAAACTCCACTTGAGCGACATCTCCATATATGTATGTATGTACGCCATTGAGTCCTGTAAATTTCCAATTGGGTAGCTGCTGTGAGTCATCGGCCATCATCATTCGCGTTTGTGTTCGCGTTCGCATTCGCATAGTTTTCGTTTTTATTTCCTTTTTTTTATGCTGCAGTCGTCCTACACGATTCGTGGTGTGCTCTTCTTATTCTCTGCGAGAAGCGACGCGAAACGGCGCAACGGCACGAGCAAAGCGACCAAACAACCAAAGCAACCCACGCAAAAGTTCAGTTTCTCAGTGTCGCTCAGTGTGAACGGGTTTCTTCGGGTCTGGTTAAAGCCAAATAAAAACAAATAACCGAAAAAAAATAAATATACATAAGTGATAAGGATTTCCAGCTCAACTGCAGTCGAGTTAAAATTAAAAAAAAAAATAAAAAATAATTATAATAAAATGTGGCGAATGACGCATCTCCTGCTGCTGGCACTCAGCATTGGATCTCTGTGGATGTCAGGTACAAATCCTGCCGCATTACATTATCCAGCTGGATTCCAATTAGAATCTGTTCAATGTTTTCGAATACAAGTTCTTCGGTTCATTCACTTCACGCACAGACAATTATTTATAGCACACTTGGCATTCATAACGACTCACACACACACACACACACATTTGCAATTTGTGCTAAAATCTATGGCATCTGTTTTTATGGAATATTCATGCAGATGACTTTTTGATCCATTAGCCTTGTCTCTACACATCTTAGCCAATTGAGCGATGCCAACATACCAAGTTTATCAATCATACGTCATGTTGACAGATCTGCCAATTGTATAGATATGTAGTATATATTCCCTTAAGATTTACCACATTTCATTCTTATTGCATAAAAACTATTCAGAGAATAGATATAATACTCTTGCCAAGGTTGCCCCGCTCGATTCATTGTTGCCATATGGCATCCACTTTGCATCTCTGTGGACTATAAAATGTTGCTGGGTAAACAATCCTTCAAGTTGTATAAGCACATAGATTATGGCGTGATTAGCCAAAGTGCCTCCTGCAGTCTATCCAAAACTAGATGCATAACACAAAGTGCAAAACGGGAAAATGTGAGAATGCGCGAGGAGGCAACGCTCAAGAAATCGATGGATTAACACAACCCAACACAATTCAACCCAACCCAACCCAACTTAACCCAACTCAGTCCCTCTCTCTAGTGCATTGGCCTCCCTCGGCGACCTGCTAACTAACATTTTAGCGGCAGCATTTAACGGCCTACGCCAATTTGCATACGCCGATTACTTTGCAAACTATTTAAATATCTTTAAAGCGAGCTAGACCTTAAAATAATCTATAAAATATTAGCGATGAGCAAAGCGAACTTTGGGTAAATTTTTGATTTCTTGTGTAGCATTTGAGTTAAGAATTTAATATTTAATAAGCTTGGAGTGAAATAGTATATTGGCTTTATGTTAGGGCCCATAGAGCTAGAATTTCTTCTAAGTACTTCTATGTATTGTTACTTGTCAAAGTTAATATAATTATTATTATTAATATTTTATTTATCTATCATCTAGCGCATAAAAATTAGATATTTTACATATTGACCACGAATTAAAGTTTAATAATTTTCTATAATTTTTTAAATTAAATTGGAGCACTTTTAAGCTTTCAAAATTGTTAAATAGATGGGCTTATGAATTACCATTTGCTCCTCTAAAACTCTATCAATTTTGTCTTCAAATTCCTATAAAAATTTTTTGTTGTTTAATGTAACTCTAAGCAAACTAAGTTTTATTTTTAAGAAACAATTTAGTTTACTTTTAGTTCACTTTTCGATAAGAGTCTAATATGTAAATTTAGCTGATTTAAAATAACATTTAAGCACAACAACATAACATATTTTGCCTGCCTAGAAGAGCTTAAAGTGCTTAAAGAGCTTGCAAAATCATTTTGAGTCGGGCGAAGCTTAAGAGAGAAAATTTAAGAGAACCATAAATTTCAAACCAGAATCAATGCGCTCTTCATTTTAAAATTTTTATTAGATTTTTTATTGCAATTCTTGGAAATACATTCAGCAGCATAATTATGTTTGTATATATCATATATAAATATGTATTTGTATGTAAATGTATACACATGTATGTGTTAATGTCACTGTCATATAATAATAATAGAATATTGAATGGAATATTTCGCCGAGTCTGTTAACAAGCTCGAAACTATTCGCATATTAATGAATGCAAATGTCAAGTTATTCATTTCTATTCACATCCAGTTAACTATTCACAATATGGCCATAGACCCATCTATAAGAGAATCGAACTTATCGACAATAAAGTCACGTCTAGACGTATATTTAGCAATAGAGAATTTCCTTGTAAACCCGCGCAAATCATCTATGGGAATCGCGTCTTGTGGTCGACCGAAGCGATGACAAATTCATGAAATTCGGAAGACGGCGCACCACCACCAAACCACCGAACCACCGAGCACCACTGACTCGGCACCACCGTGCCGATGAGCTGTACGCACTTGTGTGGCTAACCGCAAATGGACAAATTAGTGTCACAGCACACACTCATCCTCGTGGAGTGGTCACTGGGAGAGGGGACAATGAGCACATTGGATAAAAATATCAACATGATTAAAGTGACTTTGAATAATCAAGCCGCTAAATGAATCAAATGAGGGAAATGAGTGCATGAATGGGCGAATGAATTGTGTTCTTTTTTAATTATTATTAATATGTAAACATCATTGACAGTTGAGCTACTAATGAAGGCTTGAGAATTTAGATGGTGCAGCTTTGACCTTGATCCTTTTTGTAAGGCGAGTGGATGAGGAGAAGTCTCTACAGAGGCGAATATATAGGAAGATGTCTCTATAGAGACGAATAGATAGAAAGGTGTCTCTAGTGAGTGGAATGAATAAAGGGAAATCAATTCGTCTTTATATGTCTAGGCAATATCTATATAAAGAAAAGTCTATCAAAGAGAAGTGTTTGCAGAGACGAATAGATAAAGAGGAGTTTGATTAAAAGCGTAGATAAAGGGAAGTTAATTCGACTTTTATGGTCCAGGCAATATCTATATAAAGATAAGTCTATTCGTCTACTTGTCTCTATAAGTATATCAAGCCTAAGCAACAAGTTATAACATTACTTACAAGTTGCTCCAGAATTCTATAAAATAATATAGCTGTTGATGATAGTCTTCATATGTCTTATAGGATGGGTCATGGTGGTCTGAATGGTCATCTCTTTGCTTGTTATATATGTCGGGGCGCATTACGACATATATATGTATTCGTTCTAAACCAAGCAATCTTGAATTACATTTATCCATGAGTTCACTCCATAATACCCCATATGTTAACCAAATAAATAATCTCGTAGCTCCCTTTTAAAATGTTTGTTTATGCATCTATCTGCTGTTTAAGCAAATTTTAAGTCAAGTCAGCATAGAATTTTAAGGAATAGAATAGAATAGCTAACTTATATATAATTGATATCATTATTATTTATATTTAAGTTACTTAAATTAAAACTAAAAATTACAATGTCATTACAAATATCTGAGAAACATTTACTGATTGCAACTTGGTTTATAATTGCCATATCGATTATATTTAAACTGGTTTGCAACTAGCTAAAATGTTAATTACTATTATTAAGTATATATAGCTATAAGTGCAGCTAGTAGTTGACAGGTCTTTGGGTTTTAATAAAATTCCGCATTTAGAGCTGTTGCTTAACTAGCAACACTTTGACCTATAATTAGATTTAAGTTTATAATTTCTATTGCTCAACTATTTCGATATTTTTCACTTATCTAATTGCTGCAATTACCAACTACACTTCACATGCTTAATGGGTATTATTCCAGTTAAGTACAAGTATTCATGCATCTCAGGTCGCGCACAAAGCTCTTCAGCTTTCTATAGCTGTGACCCAATTTCCGTAGACTCCCACAAGTTGGTGGCTAAGCGTTCGATATGCTCGATAAACAGGATAAATAAATTAGCACACGCTGTGGCTGTGGCTGTGGCTTCTAGCGGGTATTTGCCAATTTGAGCGAGGAGCTAAAAGTGCAAATGACGCAAGCGAACCATATTGTGGGAGCCTTGACATAAATCAATATACAAAGCATACCCGTGTTTGAAATCCCGAAAAATGTCTGTCCCGAATGACAGACGGACGAAGGGACGGACGGACGCATAGACAATTCCCGCTGAAACACATAATGACCTCGAAGCGCTGACATGGCGTGGCGTGGCATGGCATGGCACGGCTGGGCATGGCATGTGTGTGGAAAGACTCTCGGAACTATGGGCACTATGAGCTGTGAAATGGGCGTTGACACGCTGCCAGGGGCCAGAGCTGCGCCCATTTCCTAATGGTTTTATGTTGTTGTTGCCGTCGAGTGGGTGTAGCTGGGAGTTTGGGAATCGAAGCTTAGGCCCAGCTAAGCTCGAAAATCTGAGAGTTCGTGGACGGGGGCGGGACGGGTCGGGTCTGCCTCAGAGTGGTTTTCAATGCATAATTGGAGCTTAATTACGTCCAGGTGTGCTGTTGACCTTGCCTCGCCCATATTTACTAATCTATGTGTACGAATTTCAGCACACGCCGAGGAGATGTCGAGCGACTATGAGAATGAGAACGAGAATGACTATGGGGAGGATGATTCAGCGCGCTCGCCTGGCAACCTGGCCAAGTCGACGGCGGCTCCACTGGTGCCCTTCTTCAACCAGAAGGCGGCCGTCGTGCACGTCGATGCGAGTGCGAGCAATGTGAAGATCGACTGCCCAGTGAAGAACTACGATGGTATGACTGATGATTGGGGGTCAGTTGAGATGCGCTCGGGTTTTTCATGTTCCATTCCGTTGCAGCCAAACACCATGTGATTCTCTGGTATCGCGAGGAGACGCTGGTCGTGAACGGCAATCAGTCGGTGATCGACATCTACAAGCTGGACAGCCCGTTCGTGCTCGTCGCCCCCCTGGCCAATGCGACGGGCCACAGCTTCCACTGTGAGGTGCTGCCGTCGGGTGTGCGGCGCGACATCTCCGTCAAGCTGGCACCGACGCCACCCAGTCCTCCGCAGCCAAACGCGACGCCCGCTGGCCACAGCTCGGCCCCGCCAGCGCTCAGCTGGCCAACAGCTCTGAAATGTCTCATTCTCGGTCTACTTATCCATGCACATTTCTAAGCCACAACAAAATCCACAAAATCCACAAAATATATCTCCAACAACACACATTTAACTAATGAATGCACCACCGGCACCACCGGCACCACCTTGTACTTTTTCAACTGGCAAAAGGATTTACTGAACAGCGCACAATCAAGGACGAGCTTCTATCCAAAATAGTTCAATCTGAGCAAAACTCTCGCATTAGCCAATGCCTTGGTTCCATTACCTCCCCCCAGCAGGTGGAGCTTGCATGGATTGCTTCTCTAATTAGGTGTTGCTTTATTAATCTAGATTAGCCATAAGAGATTATATATATATATATAGTATGTATATATGCGCCTATATACAAATGTTGAACGTATCTGCTTTATTATATATATATATATATACACAAATATATTTGAAAATGCTTATCAATTATAGGATCAATAGCTGCTAGACGAGAAACCACAAAAAGTATATAGAATTTACAATTAACTATGTTATTATCAATCGAATTCAGTTGCCTTAGCTAAGAGTTTGTTGTTTCCTTATCAAAATTCTATAAATACATGTTTTTTGAAGTATTCTTAGCAAAGAAATTTAACTTAAGTAACTAGCTTAACATATAAGATTCCAGCAGTAACAAATAGTTCATAATTTCAATAGATCTTTATTTTATATACAAGATATTATTTTTGTTAAAACTGCAACGAAACAAATGCATAAAATGTAATATTTCCAAGTGTCTTAAACCGAATACAAAGAAGAATAAATATACAGAAGTATTTTGAAAATCGAATTGGAGCTCTTTACATTTTGCAGCAGTGCAATCAATGCAACAACAAATAAAAATAAAAACTTCAATTTCAGCCTTTCATAATGAGTGTTTCGTGAAGGAAAACCCACCCTTAGAGGGCACACACTCAGAGTTCCATAGAGCGCATAGTGGAGCGAATAGGGGCGACTGCAGAAGTAAACACCCGCCGCGCTAGACAGAGACAGACTCTGTCCCTCTCCCTCTTCCACTCTCTCTCAGTCTGTCTGTCTTTCAGCAGCTGCAGTTTGTGGGTAGGAATTCCGCAATGTGCGCAGGACATGCAGGCCATATGGCCTGGCAGGCAGGCAGGCAGCCAAGCACAATGGGCCAGGCAGAGCCAGGGTGGTGGAACCGACGCAAGCCAAGCGCGGCTCAAGAAACACGAAACTTCCTGCGGCAGTCGACAACGACACGGCGACCAGGACACAGCTCGCAACAAATCTGTGCTGCACCTCAGCGATAAACGACGACTACTTCAGGCAGCTTAGACCAGATTCAAATGATTCCCAGCACAGAAAGCATTGATGCGGCTCAAGCTGGCCTTGAGTCTCCCAGCAACATGGGAGTCTGGAGCGAGCAGAGCCATTGCAATCAGCTGCAGACGGCCGCCGAGGTCTATCGTCGCATATTGGAGCGCATGCAGCGGGAAGCTGGCTGCCAGGACAACAACAGTGCAGCTCATCCATACGAGGAAGTCCTGAAACAAATTTGGATAGCGACTTTTACGGGCCACAACATCTACTATAGAGCGTAGCAAGGGAGCAAGAGTAACACTCTAGTTCATAGAGTCTATAGAACAGAATTGCTGTATATATCTACATATCAATTAAATCATCTACATATAAGCGTTATAGTATTAAATTTATCCTAAGCTGAACTGAAACCAAATAAAAAATACACAACTTCATGTCTTTCTTTCACATTTTATTTATTGCAACTTCATTATTTTCAAAAATATATAAATTTAAATTTTCATTCATTTCATTATAGTATATATACATACCTTAGACATTCATTGACTTAACTCGAAACCCTGTGGGAGTGTCAAAGAGAATTATGTGCTAAAAACACAATATTATCTTGGCTTCGGCTCATTTGAAGAGATTCATCTGATCGTCTGAGGAAATATCTCCCTATGCTGTAAAGCTTATTTATTTTTCATAATTTACATTCAATGTGTATTTTTTTTTTTTCTTTATTGTGCTGAGCATATTTATTTATTTGTTAAAATTTTTAAAAATTTATAAATTTTTATATAGTTTCATTTGATCTTATTGTAATATGCGCATATTTTGTTATAAACTTTAACTGTTTATAGATTTTTAAATATATACGTATATATAAATTGATCCAAATTTATTCGTTTATAAACAGTATATGATTCCGTCTTGAAATGGAATCTTATTTCATTTATTAATTCTATTGCTAGGGCGTTATTTTAGTATCTATTTATAATCAAAGTATATATTTATTATAAGCTGCTTTTAGTTTATTTAAATTGATCATTTCTTTTATTCTTTATTCTTTACTCCATACTAATTTAATATATAATTTGGAAAACAAAAATAAGTCGGGTTGCTCACAACCTTCAAGGTGCCGAATTATAAAAAAAAAAATACTTATATGAAGGAGCGTGAATTAAAAACCTTTTAATATTATAATTAATGTATTATTTTTCATATTTGTTTAGCATTGGGCATTTGCATCAAATATCTGTGTTTCACCCAAGGCCAAAACAAATTGAAACGTTCTCTTGATTTTTTTGCTTTGTTTTTTTTTTTTTAATGAGAAATGTTTTTTTTTTTTTATAGTACTATTACATCGTCTTTGCTTGTAGTTTAATTATATTTAGAAAGTTTTGTATATTTGTAGGTTGAACTTATATTTTTAAGAGCATTTGCTGTGCTTTCTTTTATTTATACTTTTTCAGAATGGTGTACGTATTCGGTTTATAGGACTTGATGGGTGGTTCGCGCATTCGTTTCATGTCAGTTTGGTATGGCTGTGGCCGTTTATATGCAGCTGCGCTTGTTGGTATTATTGATGGGCGTGCTATAAAATGTTATGCATTTTAAATATGTTATACATTTATATAAATTGAATAGGTATAGAGTTATTATATGTATAGAGATAGTTTGTTATTGCATAAGAATTAGTCATCAACAGTTAGCTCAACTGCATTTTAATATTTAGACATTTGCATAGATAATGCAATCAATTTGATTTATTACGATTTAGATTTCGTATCGAAAGAGAAGAGCCCCCATTGTTAAGTTGTTGTTTATAGTTGGAATTTCTAAGGTATACTCGCTACGAATCGTTGTCTTAACTTACGTTTGGTGTATTCATATCCAGATGGTGCGCCACGCTTGGCCATCCGATGATCATACTCGTAGGCCACCTCTTCAGCCTCTTCGGCTCTAAAAAAATGACAATATTATTATAACAGTTAACAAGAATTAAAGCTCAAATATTTTCAGTTCAGTTCAGGTATACGCTGCCTCGCTCAGATTGATTTCCACTCATTATTTGACGCTTACAGAGAATTGATTTAAAATTATACTTTACAAGTAACTTACTCGGGCGGATTTTCCGCTGCTCGCTTGATAAGATTCAAGTATTTCGGTGCACCGCTGCTGCCACCAAATTTCTTGTCAAAAACGGATCTACAACATGAAATTTAAACACGTTATAATTTAAATAATTGATGTTTATTATTGTTACATACCTGTACGCTTCCAAGTTAGGTCCGTGTATGTTCTTGGCAGACTCTGGATCCATTTCCATTAGCTCGCGCAACTGTTCGTGGGAGACTTCGTCGTTTTTGTCTGGAATTAGATACTTACGGATCTCGGCCAACGCATAGGCAATACGAGCATAGCACTCAGCTGGCGTGGCCACAGTGCTCACTTCGAGAAACAGATCCTTCTGCAGATGTGCATAGCGTGGATCTCCAGAGCTGCGCAACTGCTCCTCCTTGCCGCGATCGCGTATTGAGCTACGCCCTTTGATCGCAATCTTGCATTGGGTTTCGTCTTGCAGACGACGCAGTGAATTGCCTTTAGGTCCCAGAATCTTACCAGTAAAGTTAAACTACAAAGAATAGGTCAAATTGAATTACCCCATTTCCTAGTTTTCCATTTTGTACTACCTTTGGATACTGCTTGACGGGCACGAAAACTTTCTGTGTAATTTTCATTGGTTTCTGTTTGTAAACATCGGCATAGAACTCGCGGCCAGGTATGCGGCCAGTGCAATAAACGCGATCCACAGCTGAAACGAAATATATGTATACATACATAAATTATAAGTCATGCTCGGCATTTTTTCTTTCCTCCATTACCTTCGTCAATCAACAGCGCGCATAATGGGAAGTCGGCGGACAGTCGCTGGCGTTCCTCATCTAAATCGGCCAAGAATTTTTGAGCAACTTCGTTCAAACGCGGCTGATGCTCATGTGGAGCTGGCTTTTCATTAAAATCGCTACTAGCACTATCCATTTTTTCCTTTTTTTTCAATTAAATTCACGTGAAAATTGTGTATAATAGTTTGTACGCTTTTAATCTTCCTCTTCGATTAAATTTGTGAAATTTTCATTGCCAGCTACGAAAACGATAGAAGTGGCAAGACGTTATCGATGCCGACAATATGAATGCCATAATGTCATCGATGCCTGCTTTATATCGATACTTTTTTGGCGGCGACATACCGTGTTGCACAAAGTAAACAGCATTGAGCACTAAATCTGGAAAATAAAATTGAATTGCAATGGCAAGTGAAGATTTGTTTCGTAATGACTACTCCGAGGAACCTGATCTGGGGCAGGAATTTCAAAATGACGAAGAAATGAGTACAGAGATGGCTGAACACGATACTGAAGATGTTGAAAAAACCACTGGGCAAAACGACACGAACAGCTCGCCCAGTGTCAATCAGCCAGCTGCCAAGAGCCCAGAGCAGACAAAAACAAGTAAACCTACTGGTGCTATAATTCATGAACAAATACTGAAATTTTTCATTTTTAATGTATCCGCAGTCAATGGCAACAAGCCCTCGGAGCATGAACATGATGGCAAGCTTACGCAGCTACCAATGGGTCGCATTCGGAACATCATGAAACTGGATCCAGATCTTCAAATTGCATCGAATGAAGCCGTCTTTGCAGTGACCAAAGCCGTAGAGTTATTTATTGAATCCCTGGCTCGAGAGGCCTACACCTACACGGCGCAGGCCAAGAAGAAGACCATACAAAAGAGGGACGTAGATCTCGCCATATCCGCTGTGGATAGTCTTATGTTCTTGGATGGTGCACTGAATTTTTGAAGGATCCCAAATAAAAAAGTCCATTGTGATATTATATTATTTCAATATGTTTTTGTTTTAGTATTCAAAGGAAAATGCTATTTATTTGGTTTTATTATAATGTGTTTATTTGGGGATAGTGTTCGACGAACACAGAGAAATAGATTAAAAATATTAGATTTTATTCATTCTGTTTTCAATGCGCACATCATCGTTAAAAATTATAAATAATAAGTATATTAGACATTATTTTTTAGTTTTTCCTTTAAGTTTTAACGCATTTTTATATATAACGTGGAAAGCTCTGAATTTGAACGTAACCGGGCAAATTTTTTGTATTATTTTCATTGCTTTTGTTTTGCAAGTTGTATTTTCCTTTTATTGAAGCCGTTTGCATACTTACTTTGTCGTTGGGCGTTTCTGTGATTTTTATTTTATTTAATTAACTTTTATTGTTTATCTCTTCATAAACTTATTTGAAAAATTATTTCAAAACTTACGCTAACATTTTGTTAAGAATAATTAGGGGTTTATCTTTTTAATTACGATTGCATATAGGTGTGTGTATAATGTTGTTGTTTTTGCATCTTTCTTCTTATAGTTTAACTGATTTTGTGAATTTTACGATTTTTACAATATTTTGTTCAAGTTGGATATAGCTGTGTTTACTTTCTTTTCTTTTTTTGTTGCATTATTAAAATTTGTTTTGTTTTTTGTTTGTCTGATCTTTTTTGTTTGGTTTAACACAAATGAAATATTTTAAACAACAATTACTATCAAATAGGTTTTGCATTTGAATTTTGTTTGGTTTTCTTTTTCTTTTTTTTTTTTCTTGTTTATATTTATAAATAGTGTATGAATAGATTTTATGTATTATTTGTTGGATTATTGGACTTTAAACATTTTGGTATTTTATGTTGTTGGTTGTATTTCTTTTTTTTTTTTAGCTTGGGATTTTTGCCGCTCTTATTGCTGCATAAAAACTACTTAACTTTGTTGGTTGGTTGGTTGGTTGGGTTGGGTTGGGTTGGTTGGTTGGTTGGTTGATTTATTGTGAGACATAAATTAGCGCATTTTTGGATATGGAGCCGAGCGATAACGCACGCTTTCACGAGAACGTGATCCAGTTTCATAGTGAGCCGATGAATGTGATCCCGAGTTCGATGTTGTGGGTCTATATGACGATGAGGAACGACCGTTGCTTGGTTTTGCTATTTTGGAAAGAATTTTATTTGTTGTTTAGATTTTAATTGTTTTTGTCTCTGTGCTCTTTTTGTTTTTTTTTTTTTCTTTTCTGCATTTATTTATTTTGATTGAATTTTATCTTAAAATAGGTAACAAAAAAAAAATATAAAGGAGTTTAACCGGTTTTGAATGCACTAGCCCCAGAAAATTAAAACATATTATTTTTGTTTTATATTTTTGCTTTACTTTATCACAGATAAATATTGGATTTTTGTAATGTATGAGAATTTAATTGCTTTAAATGTTTTGTTTGTACGAATTGCTGTTAGTAGAGAGTAGTTTGTCTTGAGCTTCTGATTTGGGTTTTTCATAATTGTGAGAATCGAGTTACATTCGATCGATCGCCTGTCAGGCGTAGTGCATTTAAAATCTTGTTAAATATATATACATATAGATATATATGTGGATAGAACTTCCGTTTTTTCTTTTTCAGAATTTCGATTCGCGTTTAACTTGATATGTTTTGGTATTTTAATTTGCTTCTCTTGGTATTTTTTTGCGCGCGATTTGTATTTTTTGTCTTTTTTTTTTGTTTTCTTGTTTATATGTATTTCATTTGTAAACAGTCCAGCTGCGGAAAAGACATTAATTATCTAATTTCGACTGTTCTTACCTGTGTAGGCCGCTGCGTAGGATGAGGAAGACGAGTGCGGATGATACTCACGTCTATAGTCACGCTCATACGAGCTGCTGTCTGCATATTGGGCATGATGACTCGAATGCTTGGACGACTGGGGCGGAGGCGGCGTCGCATATCGATCATATTCTCCATGGTGATCGTATAGCTCATGATCCCGTGATCTGCATAAATGAATACCAAATGTATTTGATACAAATTAATGGCGAATATTCTTAGTCAGGTTCACCTAGTCACCTACCTATGAGCCTTGACAATTCCGTAATTGGGATCGTCCATTACATAGCGGGCCTTTTCGAGAATTGAATACACCTTCGGCTTAGATGTGGCTGGCGGTGGTGTGCTAAATGATAATATAAGAATGATTCAATGCACTTTTTTTTCAGCAATTCAAGAGAAATATCTTTCTATCTATATCTGTTCACTCTCTAGTTCTATAAATATTGGCCCAACATTGAAAAATAACACGTGAAAGTCTACTTTGAAAGAGCTCTACTGGAAACAACTGAAAATCGAGATTAACTGCCGAACTGTACTTTGTAACTGTCTCAAATATCTTTCCTATTAATTTATATACACTGAAAAACTATCTATTTGGAATCTTAGGTGCATCGATTAGGTTTTTCTCAGACTATGTAGTGCATTGTGTGGGTGGATTGAACTTACCGGGTGCTATAGCCGCCATGTTCTCCATAGGACTTGGAATAGTGATGAGATTTCTTATACATGCGCTCCTTGCCGTCCATTTCTCTTAACTGTTCGAGACGAATGTCATCGTTGGCGTCAGGTATCATAAACTTGCGTATTTCGCACAGGGCATATCCCAGGCGATGATATGCCTCGGCTGGAGGCGCTACTGTCGATATCTCTACGTGCAGATCTCTGCTGAGATGGGCATACTTTGGATTGCCGGAGCTGCGCAGCTCCTCCTCTTTGCCATGGTCGCGCATCGAATTGCGTCCCATGACGACCATTTTGCACATCGTTTCCTCTTGCAGCTGGCGCAGTGTATTGCCCTTTGGACCAAGTATCTTCCCGACAAAATTGAATTTCGGATACTCTTTGATGGGAAACAGCACTTTTTGGGCCACCCTAATCGGTTTTTCGCTATACACATTCGCGTATATCTCTGGCTTTGGAATGCGACCGCTGACCAAAATCTTTTCCACTTCTGCAAACAACCATAACGATTACATCGTGCACTCAGTTTTTTTTTACATGTTCTATACGCACCATCGTCCAGTAGACGTTTTGTTATAATATGTTTCTTCTCTAGTGTCTTCTTTTCCATTAGGCACTCTTGCAGGTACGCGTTTGTTTTTTCATTCAACTGTGGCGTGTCATGCAATGGGGCGTGACTAGTTGTGTGGCCATGGCTGCCATCCACTTCGGGAGCGTCTGCAGCGCTGCCGGCGCCGGCTGCCTCATCATCACGTCGCTTCCGCTTGTAATCAGCGGCGGTGTCCTCATTATAGTCTCTGTCGTAGTCTCGCGGCATTTTGTTTGAATAAAAACACTTTAAGTGTATATCTCTTGGCCACTAATTACAAGTTTATGGAAACTAATTTGATCAGAGCGAAATTCAAAGTTCAATTGCAAAATTGATGTGCCTGAAAAAATTTTCTTTTATGTATGGGGTAATCAGTGTAGCCGTATTCAATATTTTAAAGGATTTGGTATCTTTCGCGTCTAATGGTAATTGAAAACAGTAGTTTTCTAAATTATACTGTTTATGTTTTTTAGTGTTTATCAGCGAAAAATGTTTATTTAATTAAGAATATGATTTATTAGTGTACATTTTTGCGAGATAGATGGAAGTGCAGTCATTATACAACTTATATCAGTCAGTAGAGTAAGAAACTATCAATATATTGTAATGGCATTTAAGCAATTACTGCTGAAGTGCATAAGGATAAATATTGTATAGACATTAGTCGCGTTTTAATTCACTATTTACTTAATCTTTCAATAAAAATAAAAGTTTTTCTAAGTTTACTAGGTTGGCTTTTTTATTCACCAACAATGGTAACACTACAGACAATATATAAAAAAGAACAAGCTACCGCTCTTCACCATACTCTATCGATACTATCGTAATGCATATCAAATTGCTAGTGCTGGTCAATCTGGCACTTGGGCTTGTCAGGGCTGGACAGTGTGGGATGGAAAGCGCGTTTTTCTATATTTGCTAAATGTGTACACACTTTGATGGAAAAAGAGAGAAAAAATTAGGGCCACAAAGAGGTTGCAAACATATTTGATAAATTCAAATTAAATCGACTGCTCGGCGACGGGGCCATTAACATAAAACGCGCCACGCATTGTGCCGATTCGTTTTGGTAATATTCGCCACATCAATTGACTACGGGCGCCGTTACGGAAAGCAGGACAAATGGCGGAAAACGGAATGCGTGTCGGCCCAGGGTCATCGGCGGCAGCAGCGGCGGCGGCTGCCAATGCAAATGCTGGCACCAGCAACGGGGAGCACGAGAACGAACACAATGCTGTGGACAACGAGAAGGTGCAGCCGGTGCGTCTGAATGAATCGGCCCAAAAATACATGCAAGAACTGATGAGCGAACGGTCGCGCATGGAGAGTCAATTTCCATTGGCATTAAAACTAATTGATGAAGGTAATAAAATAAGTTCAACCAATTACCTTATGTACACACTGATTGGTAAATACTAATGCATACATACATATGCATCACACAAACACACACACCCACATGTACTCAAATGCATATCTGACTGTGTGTGTATGTTTATGTATATGAAACGATCTTGCAGCTCTGGAGCGGGTGCAGTTGAATGGTCGCATTCCGACGAGAGACCAGTACGCCGACGTGTATCAGCAGCGGACGATTAAATTGTCGCAGAAGGTGCACGTGCCGATCAAGGATAAGAAATTCAACTATGTTGGCAAACTGCTTGGCCCCAAGGGCAACTCGCTGCGTCGGTTGCAGGAGGAGACGCAGTGTAAAATCGTCATATTGGGCCGGTTCTCAATGAAGGATCGTGCACGTGAGGAGGAGCTACGCAATTCTGCGGACGCTAAATATGCCCACCTGAATCTTCCGCTCCATGTCGAGGTGTCCACCATAGCACCACCAGCTGAGGCTTACGCTCGTGTTGCCTATGCGCTGGCCGAAATTAGGCGGTATCTGATACCCGATAAGCATGACGATATACGTCAGGAGCAGTACAGGGAGCTGATGGAAGATCCGGAAGCTGCCAAAAAGCTGACTCTGCGCCAGTTGCAGCAGCAGCAGCAGCAACAACAACAGCAACAGCAGCAGCAGCAACAACAATCAGCTTCTGCTGGTGGCAACGGCAATGGCAACAATCGCTCTGGTGGCAGCTACAGGTGAATTTCAATTGAACCAAAACAAATGCCTCGCCATTTACAGCCAAGGCTTGTTCCATTTCAGACAAAAGTATCAGCAGCAACCGCACTATCATCACAACGACGAGACTGTCTACTATCGTTCACACAACAATGCCTATCACCAGCCAAAGCCCTATGTGCCAGGTGAGTGTGTGTGTGGTGCAGTTTTTCAGTTGCTAAATCCCTTCTCTCCTTTCAGCTGCCCAGCGTGGCAATGCGATGCATACAACCTTGCCGCCGCAGGCCATTGTACGGGAATCACCTTGCATGGTGGTTAGCTCGGCCAATTTCAATGGACGCAACGCTGGCATGGGCAATGCCGGCGGCGGGATAATGGCCAATACCATTGTGACTGCCACAGGCGGCGGAATTGGGAACACTGTGCAGCCTATTCGGCATTACCGTCCCGCCGCCCCCTACCAGTTTGTTAAGAAATAATACAGAAGCAATGCGTCACCTGCCGCTCGCTGTTTGTTCACCATTTTGTCATCATGTCCATCATCATCTCATCCAAATGCATGCCCCGCCTAGCAACGTGCATAGATGTATGTAACTGATGCATGTGCATGCGCCGCCGCCATTAGATGATTGGGCTTTGGTCGTTTTGTGGCCTGAGCCGGATCATAACACACACTGCTCCAAAGGTAGATGTAATAATTATAGATACACACACACACATACGCATACAAACACCACACACACATACACACATATAATTTTCACACATTGAGTTTAACAAGATTTCGAGAGGGGAAAACCTAACCAAAACCAAACAAAACGAAATGAAATGAAATGAAATGAGTAAAATGTACGTTTAAGAAATTAGCCTAAGTAGACGAATGCTCCAAATGAACACACACACACACACACACACACACTGACATGACACACTCGCACATACGTACAACAAGAACACACACACACACACACCGACGAACGTTAATTGGGCTTTCGATTGATTGTAGGATTGTGGATTGGGGGGGAACTCGTTAGATGCCATTTTCTAAGCTTTCCGTTTTCTTTTATTGTTTATTGGAATTTTAAACTGTGTGAATCTGTTTTCTGAACGGACCCCAAGGTGTCTCGATTTTATTTTGTTTTGTTTAATTTTGTATTCATTTTAATTGACGCATTTGTTCGTTTAACATCATTTCATATTTATATATCTCAATACATATTTACAATTATATATATATATATACATGTATATATATACATATATATATAATACATATGAATTATACAAATATGATTTAATTATTTCTCCAAATGCAATCGTAATGCATTTTACAACGATTAGGAGGCTTTTTATTATTTGTAACCCATAAATTCGGAAAAGTGTCGAGCGTAACAGAAATGTAGTTTATTTAATTTTTATACCATTTGCGTTGACATTTCACATACACAGAAATACATAAATACATAATACCCACATATAATCAAGCATACAATACATATAAACGTATAAACAAAAACCAAAAAAAAAAAGAAAAAAAAATTAAGAATCAACAATTAATGATGCAAACATGAATCTAAACATAAATCGACCAGAGCGCGATTATGATAAAAATAATAATAATAAAAACAACATTACATAGCTTAGCATTAACACGTCAGAAAAAAGAAGATAAAATATACATTTAATGATACACACGAAATGAATCCAAACCCACACACAACACACACCCATACACACACATAATTGTTATTGTTGTTAAACGCAACTAAAATTGTAATAGAATTATGCAAATATACAACAAATAATATGGTGACAATGTTAAATTGCAGCTGCTTAGTTATTATTTGTGATTCGAGAAACATTTACAACTTTCTTGATTCCGCACGCCAAAAAAAGAGAAGAGAACATAAATAAAACCTAAGATATATACATACATACATATATGAACCATGTGCATAATAATACAGTATGAGTATGTTAGTTCAATTGGTTTTTCAATTTATTGTTTATGCATTATTCTTGCGAAAGCCAAAAATCGAACCGAACCGAACTGAAATGAAGATGAAGATGAAATCAATCGATCTACTGTTATGCATGTGCAGCAGGTGTGTGAGAGGGGAGCTTATGAAGCGACAAAACATAATTTCTATTGACACCCACACACACACACACACACAGAAACCAAACAAACACAGACACCACACCACATTATAATTATTTTACAGTGCATTATTATATATTGCTGATTATCGTTAAATAAATTCACAATTTGAATTGAATATGTTGAATAAACTTGAATCCAAAAATAATATTTTACTTTTTGTAGAGAAATTGAAAATTAAAAATGAATTATATTCATTGAATGTACCATATATGGGAATATTACTAGTCGTATTCCTATATTTGTATATGATCTATGAATATGTAGAAACTTCTAAGGCTGCCTCAATATTTATACTAAGGACAGGAAGTTTGAACAATCTACAGTTCATTTATGATTTAAAGTACAATTCTATGTAACATATCATTTAATATTTAATTGCATATTTTATTTCAATATCTTCGATCGTTCGAAATTGATTTTATTTTATTTTTATTAACATTTAGAAACTAACAAAAAGTTATTGTTAAGCCACAACACTAGAGGCCTCTGACCAGCTGCATTAGTGTATAGGGATTCATGTTGCTCATGAATTTGAGCTGCTCATCAAAGCCGGGCTGCGTCTTCGAGATCCAATGACGATCCAAATAGTAGTTGATATAGCTGGCGAACTCTTTCTCCGTGTAATTGCCAACGTGCACGGGCACAAATGGATCCAAATGCTCGAAGCCCTCTTTGCCAAGCAGATAGCGTGGCAAGTAGGATTCCATGTAACCTTCGGTCATGGCTATTTTGTCCACGGATAGAATGCACACGCCGTTCGTCCAGTCGTAGTTGGTAATATCCAGAAATGGCTGGGTGAGCGTTATGCGGTCTGGGGACACACGCTGCTTGTTGTCGGAGAAGATGCGCGTGATGGGATGGAAGAAGGCATTGTAGCCATCGATGGCCACCATTACCTTGCACTGGCCAGCTGTGGCCAGTTGCTTCAGCTCCGAGATCAGAGCTGCCGTTGTCTCCGATGCATACTTGATCCTGGCAATGCCATGCTCCACTAATTCGATCAGGGACGAACCTGCTGGTGTGCTCTCACGCTTGCTCCACACGTACTCCTTGCTGGTCTTCAGTTGCAGGCGTTCGAGCAGCTTCGAGTTCTGCGCCTTGAAGTGAACCAGCCAGGCGGCAGCATCAAATGGCAGATCGATAAAGCCCTCTTGGCTGGCTGAGTTCGCTGACTCCTTGGGCCGTTTCATCCAGTTGGGCGCCCAGGGCACGTGCACCAGCAGAAAGTCGTTCAGCATGCCATAATGCAAGACATGTGCCATGGTCAGTGTTTTGCCAACACCATTGTCGCCATACAGCACATAACGTACCACCGGTTTCGACAGATCAGCCCTCTTGATGTAATTCAGCAGCTCGAGGGCAGGAGAACGCACCATTAGGCAGGCCTCGGTAAATGTCTTGATCTGTTGCTCGTATTGCTTTGGCAGGCCGCCGCCAGAGAAAATTTGCTTCTTCTGTTCCATGGGAATAGTGTAGAATTTGCCTAATTGTACATCCGAGTGCTCACCAGGATTTGCCACACCTGTCCGAAACTCATTGACGAGAGGCGGTGCGGTAACGGCTTCTGCCGGCGCTGCATTTGTTGACATTTCAGTCTCCCGGCTGGCCACACGAGCAGCTAGCACATTGCGGGACAGGTGTGTGGAGACACGCGACAAGTTACCAAATTGTTTGCGAAACATTTTTATTAACAATTCGTCATCCAAGTCGGATTGGAGTGCAAGAGCGTGTATATTAAATAAGAGCTACAAATCAGCTGGAAATTATCGATTCCGATAACACTTGCATACGATAGTCAGACAATTATATACGATAGTCACATTTCTTTATATTGCCAGTAACTTGTACACGTGAGAGACCGTTAAATCATTTGAAATATTTATTATAGTGAATAGCAAAAACAATGCGAAATTTAAATTTAAATAATTGTTTTTTGTAATTACATTTCTATTGAGTAACGTGTTAGAACTTGCAATTGCAATAAATGGGAAATGCATTTACTTAGATGTTAGTATAGCTAATTGTGAATGATTTGGCGTATATTTAAATTTGTCAAATATTCAATAGAATATGTAGATCATATGCAAATTTTTTGTTTATTTATTTTCATTGTTTCAAAATATTTAATTATCTCAATTGGTACTATTAAAAGTGCGCCATGTCATTAGTTCTAGCAATACAACTGTACATAAATATAAAAATATTACACTATGCAATTAAATGAGTTTTTTATTTTAATTATATTTTTTTATTTATATCGAAATAGAAATTTTCAACCGTACTAAATGTGTTTGGTTCATGGTACTTGTTATATTCTTTTATAAAATCAATAACTTTGAGAGCTTATCAAGCAACAATAAACATAGATAATTTAGTAACCGATAAGAGCGCACGAAAAAAGTAAATGTCTTTCCATTTCCTGACATTTGATATAAAATTAAATCATGTCTCCACCGTTGCTGCTGTCAGTTTGTGCTCTTTACTTAATTTACTTTACAAATATAATTTTCGGATATTCATTTCAATATGGCCAAATGCATCCCGCTGCCGTGCCCATTCATGAGGACGAGATAAGTTGGAATTGTGCCGAACGCTATGTAGAATATGACGACAAGATAATCAGTGAGGTGAATAGCTTGAGATGTGTGTACCTATTAACTTAACCACAAACATTCGGCATTCATGCATTCAAGGGCAGCTTGAAATTCACAATAATTCTAATTTTGGTCTTCGATGAAACCCCATCGGACTCGCCTGCCCTAACCGAGATCGTTCAGGGTGGCATCGGCTGCAATCACACGACATTGCGCTTGAGCTGCCCTGCGTTGAGCGAGTCTGAGCCCAGGAGTGCCAAAGTAAATATTCTCATATATGGAGTAGTGGCGGATTCATAGGAGCAATCCATAAAAAGTTTTAGTTAAAATTACATGATTATAAAAAATAAAAGAGCTTTGCCATCGTGATATAGAAATTAAAAAAACCAGACTTGTGTGATAATTAAACTGTTTCTCTTTCGTTCTTTATTCGATTAGTTAAACTGCCATCACACTTTTCGCCGTGATGTGATTTGGATTAATTTGAAAGGAATAGCCATCCGTGGGCAATTCGCTGACGATGAAAGGCGATAGCAGAACCAGAAACATCCGTTCGCCAAGGACACATCGCAGATTGTAGGCGAGTCCGCAGTCGTACTTCGGTCCACTATCAAAGCGCACAGTTCCGTGCAACACATGCGGCAGATAATAGCAAAATGCCGAACAAGTTGTGTACACTGCAAGCAACTTCCAGCTGAAAACGTTGATGGTCACCAGCTCGAAGAGTGGAAACGGACCGCAAACCAATTGTGTGACCAGCAAGGTATAGTTGTAGCCCAGCATAAAGTATAACTGATAGATCGTGGAGTAGATCGATCCGAAGGCAAACTGTGCCACGAAGCACACAAAATAGCGCATCGTGTGATGCCCCACGCAACTGCCCACAATATTGCAGTGGTGATCGCGTCTCAGTATGCAGACGCCACAGAGCTTGCAGTGCCACGATCTGGGCGGCGCCAGGCGATCACAGATCGCGCAGTGCCTCCACTCCAGACGAGCTGCGTCGCCTTCTGGCGGCGGCCGGCACTGCTCATCGACGCTTGTGTCGATCAACATGCCGGCCAACATGTTGGCAGCGATGCTGAAGTTCAGGAAAACGGCCAACACGACGTTGAAGCAGTACCAAAACGAATACGGCTCATGTAGAGCGGGCACCATAAAGAATACGTCAAATACGAATGTGACGGGCAGCAGTATAAGTATAATCAGGGAGAGCAGAATCTCGAACCACGTTTTCGGATATGGCTTACTACGAAATTTCATATTTGTGATCCACAATATTAAAAATAAAATTCTATCAAAATTCTATCAACAATTTGAACGTCAGAGCTGGAATGAGATTATGAATTCTGATATCATCGAACTACTCGAAACATATGTATATAGATACTTATATGTGGTAATTTGGTAATAATCTGCTAAGGTTTGAGAAATAAAGAAGGTGTTTTTAAGATAAGAAATATGCCATTACTTTATATATATTTAATTTTTTTTTGTTGTATTTTATATTAGCTCTCTCTCAATTTCTTTCATTATTATTATGATTATTATTATTATTATTTTTTTTTTAATTGAGAGATCATTTTTAGCTTGTAATTTCAAATGAGGCATCAATTTTGCGCATTGATCTTTAAAAAAAAAAAAAAAAAAAAAAAATACTGATAAATAATTGGAATACACAAATGGACAAAATTATATGATTTTTGGGCTATATAGTTCTATGTAAAAAAACCAAAGCATATATAAACAAACACTTATAACAATAACAACATTCAAAATATATTTATTTTAACTATAAATAATTATTAAATCTAGTAGCTAAGACTTAACAGCATTCGTTTGCCTATTATGACATATTTATGATGATATATTGGGCTTTGTTCATTTCTCGTGAATCTGCTCTGAGTACTCCCCATTTGAGGATATACTGCCAAATGGAGAGTAGCCATAGCTAAAGTCTACTCATAGATAATACCATAACACAAGGAGATGACTACAAACATTTCAACCTCTAAACAAAGTTATTTTCTCTTTTTGCTCTCCCCAGAACTTGTGCTCCAAGTATAGCCATCGCCCGGCAACTCGCTCCTTATCAATGGCGACAGCCAGGCGATGTGCATGCGCTGGCCAAAGACACTTCGCAGATTGGAGTAGAGTCCGTTATTGTATTTGTGCTGCTTGCCACTCTCCGCACAGACCTCGCCGCGCAGCACGATGGGCACATGGTAGACGAGGATCACGATCGAATAGAGCAGCGCCAAGATGTTCAGGCTATAGAAGAGCAGCTGCAAGTTGGTCCAGAAGCTGCCAATGACCAGCATGAACATGGGACAGGCCACCTTGAGGGCCGTCAGCCAGTTGCAATAGACATCTGCATTCAGTATCCACATGAACACCGAGTTGTAGGACAGGGCATAGACCGAGCCGATAAACAAATACACGATGAAGAGCATAAAGTAGCGATGATTCTCGTGCCCGATGCAGCAGCCCGTAAAGAGGCAGTGGTGATCGCGTTTCAGTATGCAGACGCCGCACACCTTGCAGTGCCACGATCTGGGCGGTGCTAAACGATCGCAGGTCGTGCAGTGCCGCCACTCCAAACGAGCTGCGTCGCCTTCTGCTGGTGTTTTGACCCGCTCATCTAGAAAATTGAGAGTGAGAGAGTGAGAGAGAGAGAGAGAGTGAGTGCTAGTAAATGTTTGTAATTAAAAATAAAAAAAAAGCAGGCTACTCACGATCAACGCTCGTGTCGATCATCATGCAAGCCAGCATGTTGCCCTTTATATTGAAGAGCAGAAACATGGCCATGAGGAATGTGAACGTGTGGAGAAATCCGCCGGGCTCGTGTATTGCGGGCAGCACTACGATGATCTCAAATATGAAAACAATGGGCAGAAATACTCCAATCACCAGGTAGCACAGTATATCCACCAGCCGCCGGGGCAGCGGATTGCGTCTCACTCTCATTTCGACTAAACTCGCATGGAGCAACTGATCGACTGCTGTGCATAGAGCGAAGCGAAGCTTCTGCTTTTGGCGCACTCTCCCAACCGGTTGGCGATCACGTGCGGAAGCTTTTTAGCTTTGCGCGCCGAGCTTTCTTATCAACGATAACATTAGACTTCCAAAACAATTCAGATATATGTGTAGCACACGTATGTATGTATGTATGTGAGTATGTGCTACAATTACACACTTTATAGAGTGACTAGATGATTGTTGCGTCATTCTTAAGCCCAGAGATAGAGTTAGAGCTAAAGTTTGCTTGAAAGAGAGAGAGAGAGATTAATATAATATAGATAATATAGATTACTTTTTTTTATCTTATCGAACTACATACTAAATGCTGGTCCATGCCTATATATAGCCTATATATGCTCGTATTGACAAGCTTGATTTATGTTTATATGCACTGCTTAAACATCTATTTTTGTGTCTGCTTCACAAGTTAGACTATTATATACCCTGTAAACTGAACCATGTCATTTTCTCTGCAAATGCTATGTATTCGTACTCTCTTAGAGCTAATTGTCAGATATTCCAGATGTAAGCTATATGACAGCAAATTTTGATTCGAAAGACCGCAATTTATCCAAGAAGTAAAATATTTCTGATATGATATGATATGAGTGCTGAAAGAGGTCAAGCGATTTAGTTAAAGGAAAGAAAGAGATAGAGAACTTGAGATTCAAAGGGTGAAAGGGAGTGAGACAGAAAGAAAGAGAGAGACAGTCATAACTAGAAGTGAAGGTAGAAGAAGTGGATAGCAAAGAAAAAAAGGTATTATTACCATGGGAGCACTACAATATATACATATATTTGTTTTTAATTCTAGAGAAGCACATAGAAGATCTTGATTAATCAGTTAAATATGTATATTATTTTGACAAAATCCAGACAGATATTTTATATTAATGATAATCAAAAAAATTAATATTTTAGACTTTGTAAATTTATTCAAGCCATATCAGTATATCATATCATATATCTACATATATATTATTTATATTTACAAGTTTATTTATATACACCCATTAACTATTTCGGGCAACACAAATCCAGTGCAGGAAATTTTGCAGTAATTAATACATAAGTGATTTGAGTGAAATGCGTATTGAATATTTCATTAGCGGCTTAAGCGAGCGCTACTGAAACCACAGAAACCAATCAAGGCAATTGCCTCAAATGATGCAATCAATAAAAGGCTTTAATTACTATTCATGGAGATACCTTTAAGTAATTACCTTGGCTTAATCGCTCAATGGCCAGACAGGAGCCAGGCTATAAGTAGCTGAGAGTTGTGGACAGACTCTATGTAGTCCACATCGGTCGCAATGGAGGCCAAGCAGAAAAGTCAGAAAAGTTGCGCGCTCTTGCAGCATAGTTTTAAGAAAAGTTTGAAAATGTTTCTGAAGGAAACCGGATTGCATGGGCTGAAATTTGTGGGCGACTCGGAGCTGAACATCTGGGAGAGGCAAGAGTCGGTAGTTGAGTTAAGTCTGATATTATTGCTACAGGCAAATTGCAGATCCTTTTTCCTGATTGCCTTTGTGGCCGCACTCGCGATGACCTGCCAGCTGATATCGAACATCTATGCCAAGTGGGAGAGCACGCCGGTCATCATCGGCATCAGTCCGCATGCCACGTCCATACGGAAGGTGCCCTTTCCAGCTGTCACCGTCTGCAACATGAATCAGTTTCAGCGCAGCAAAGTGCTGCAATACAAAGAGTAAGTCCATATATAGAGAGAGATATATGTACATATATCTGAGGTCTAATTGCCACAGGGGCTCGGCGGAGTACGATGCCATGAAGGTCCTTTGCAATCCACGCTCGGAGCGTATATACCACAGCACTGAGAAGGCCAGCAGCGACTGGGACACGACTGTCAACAGCAGCAACACCCTGAAGATCACCGACTTTGTCAAGAATCATTCCCAGCCCTGCCACCAAATGCTACGATACTGCCGATTCAATGGACATGTAGCGCCCTGCGGCGAAATATTCCGTCTCATCCTCACTGATGAGGGCCTCTGCTGTGTCTTTAATTTTCTGCCCGCTCACTTTATATACAAATCGCAGTAAGTGAGCAGAGTTGGGATTCTCTATTATTCCACTAACCTTCTATCTTAGCCAAGTTGAGTCAATGAGCGATATTGAAGCAGTTGGATATCAGCCTGTGCCTTGGGATCCCGAAACTGGGTATCCCGCGAAGCTGCCCAAACACCACTATCCAATACCGGGCGCTGGTATAAGCTTGAAATATATACATATATCAGAATTATAATTAGAATCCCTTTATTCATTACCAGGCACAGGCATTACCATGGGCTTTACTCTGGTTCTGGATGCGCAGGTGAGCGAATATTACTGCTCGTCAACGAATGGACCTGGTTTTAAGGTTTGTATATATGACAAATGTGTTTAGAATTATATAAGTATGTATTTACTACTTTAACTAAAACTTAAGCTAGCTATTCATAAATATCTCTTAAAAACCCTAAATTTCATTTAATTTTTCTTTTAGATATGGTAGATATGATAATTTATTTATTATATAGGTCTTCAAAAGCTCTCTAAACTTGATAACATTCATATATTTCAACGCTCTCACCCGTTTTGCAGGTGCTCTTCCATAATCCCATTACGACGCCCAATGTCAAGGAGGAGGGCCTTGTGCTGGGCATTGGCTATGAGACGAACTTCCGGCTCGCCGTCAGCATGTCGGAGGCGGTGCCAGCGCTTCGCAGCATTTCTCGTAAGGATCGCCAGTGTGTGTTCAATGGGGAGAAGGAGCTGCTCTACCACAGGGTCTACACGCACAATTACTGTGAGCGGGAGTGCGTTGCGCAGTACCTGTACCAGGCCTGCGCCTGTATTCCCCACAACTACCCGCTCATCTATAAGAACGCGAGTGTCTGCAGCGTCAAGGATACTGAGTGCATTCACCAGGCCAATCAACCAGAGAATCAGCAGGGCTCGGCCAGGTGCCAGAAGGAGTGTCTGCCCAGCTGCATCGATCTGACCTATACGGCTGATTCGCTATATTTTCCACTGGCCAAGCGCAATTTCAAGCTAGCCAATAGGGTCGTGTCGAGCATGAACAAAAGCTATCTACTGGAAAATATTGCCGTTATGAATTTATACTATCGCGAGTCGGCCTACTATGGCAGCATGAAGAATGTCTACATTGGCTTCACGGAGTTCTTGTGTAAGCCGTACATATATGGAGATTTACATAGATTAATGATAATATTTGCTTGCAGCTAACATTGGCGGTGTCATGGGCCTCTTTATGGGCTTCAGCGTTATCTCCATAGCTGAAATGCTTTACTTCTTGGTGCTGAAACCCATTTCGGAGCTCATAGCGTGGAAATACGGCAGCAAGAAGCTGCACAAAATTGAACGATCTCCCTCAAAACCCCAGCTAAAAGACGATAATCTAGTATGGCATACAAAGGAACTGTATCCCAAGGGCATGTCCTCAAACAAAATGCAGCCACGCAGCAAAAATGCAAAAATACTTTTAGTCAAAAATAGAAATAAGTTCTAGAGGGCTCTGAGTGATGCCTGAGCTAAGATCTACTATAGAGTCTCTGAGTTTAAGGCTTAAAATTTAACGACTTTTAGACATGAAAAGTGAAAAGTCAACTAGATATCATATATGCTCTTATAATCCTACAGTGCCTGCAAAACCTTTACTTTATGCACATATTTGATGAAGGCCTGAATGTTATATATGTTTAGAGTAAAGTCCAAGCCGAGCAACATGCGCTTGGTCATTCATCTGTTTAATATTAAATAATGCACCACAATTACACTTCAAGTTATTGTCGCAGCTGTGGGCGGGCCAAGGGAACCACAAAGACTTGAATGTCATGCAGAGGGTCGCTCAGTTCTGGCTGTAATGTAATCGAAATGGTTAAATATGCAAATATTAATTATGTGAAGTTATACAAAGTCCGGATACTTAAAGCACCCACGGTACAGTGAGCCATCTTCGGGCAATCTAGACTAGTAAAACTAAGTCAGTTTCTAAATTATGGACTTTTGGCAGCAGATGTTCGCAGCACGAATGCTGTTTGCAATTAAGAGTTTCCTTATGAAAACGAAGTGCGGAAATAGAGGCGAGTCCTTTCTTTGGCCAAAATAATGTACAGTTGTAGTGGCTCGCTGCTTGTGCTGCTGTGGCTATTATTATTTTATTATATTTTATGCCAATATAAGCGCATTTTGCGTAATTGCTTTCACTAGATGCGGGCACAGTGCCCGCCAACAGTACGTGTATGTGTCTATCTGCGTGGCGCTTTAACTTGCCCTTGGAGCTGCGTTGTCTTGTCCTGCGCTGCACAGCACTCGAGAGCAGCAGCACCCTTATGGCCTGCCATTGTGCCACCAGCAGCACCGGCACTCTGTCAGAGTCGAGAAACTGGGCTAACGCTCGAGTACGGACGGGCTCTTCCCTGGACCAGAGGCTCTAGAAGACCTGGCATACTTATGCCTCAACGGTAATTGCTGACCTACACACAAAGTGACTAATTTTGTTCAGACACACACATAAGTGCATACAGAAAGATATACATTTAATTTGAGGGCTGTTCGAGGAGTAGTGGAAGTGGAAGATGTAAATATATCAAAATAAAGGTTAAACCTGCAAGAGTTATACTATTTTGGGTAGCTATGTATAACTCAGATGCTGTTTAATCATCTAATGTGAAATTTTTGAATGCAATTTTATTACAATTTATTTTATTTGTTTATCTTTAAGACCAAATTTTTATTATTATATTAAAAACAAAAATTTCTAACTCTGATTAAAAACCCCAACAATTTTCTTTTTGCTATAAGTTTTTTATATACAAATTTTTATACAAAATACATGTTTATTATAAATAATAATAATAAATATATATACATATCTATATATATATAAGTTATTAATTTAAATAAATATATAAAAATATTTAAAATATTAGCAAAAGAAATATTAAAAAATAATATTTAAAAAAATACATATGTATGTAATAATATTTATATTTTATTTATTATTACTTATTATTTATTTATTTATTTTTTTTAATATTTTTATTTTAAGCACTTCTATTAATAATAAAAATAAATGAATAAATAAATATGCATATTTTTAATACACATAATTTTATATTATTATTTGATACAAAATATTTTACAAAATTTAATTTTTGTTCACGGGTTTTCATGTTTACTTTTCCATGCTATTTAAATTTAGTATTTTTTACATTTAGTATTTTATTATTTTCACATTTAGTACTTTAACAAGACAATAAAGAATAGTTAACCAAACGTCTTGCTAATGTTTATTAGTAAGTACCTGCGTAACTCTTCAGCCCACCCTCGCAGCTGCTTGATTTGTGTCTCCTTCTGTGTGAATATCAGCAACAATTCAGTGTGGGTGAGTGCTAAGCGTGGCTCGGCCCACTCTCATAATTCCGGCCAGCAGCTGTGCTGTGCTGTGCTGCAGTGCGTGCTGATAGGTGGGCGGTTAAGCGGTAAGTGGGCGTGCCTAGGCAGGGTTGCTGAATGTTGCGAAAGGAATGAAATGCATTCTTGCATTTCAAGACAATTTGTGAAATTGCAGCGCTTGATGCTTCCACGTGCAATGCATCTGGGTATTTTTTTTTTCCTTTTTTGTTTTTGTTTTTTTCCATTTTTGTTTCTTTTTCGTTTATGTTTTTGCTTCGTGTTTTTATGGCAAGTCAACAATGTGGCCAAAAAGGAGACTAACAAAAACTAAAATTGTAACAGAAACCAGGGCAAGCTGAGCCAGCGGAGCAGGAGGACGGCCAGGCGGGGCGGGTGGGTGAGTGGTTTAGCTAGAGTAAAAGCAAGCCAGCTCAACGATAAGACAACTGGCGCAAATGATTACGACGTGTTCATGGAATTCTATACAAGCAACAGCCACAGCTCCATAAATGTCAGGAACAAAACTGAATTCAATTCTTTATGATGCTGTTACAGAGCCAATGGCAGTGTGGCTCTGCTTTAACGAGTCCTCGCGCAGAGCTTTGGCCCTTCAATGAAAAATTATGCTATTACTATTTGTGGGAAAGTGCAAAATGAAACGGAAACAGAAAAAGTGGTGGAGGGAGATGAAAAGAAAAAGAAACAAAAACAGAGACAGCAAAAGCGACAGCAACAGAATGAGAGACGGAAATGGAAATGGAAACTGAACTCGAGAAGCAGATTGAAGCATTTATTTAATATGCCATTTCGTATGAATGGGCAGACAATATAATTTGCAAGTTTGATGGGGGAAGGAGGTGGTAGGGCAGGGTAGGTGGATGCACATGAGTTCGAGTAATTAACATCCAATTTGTTGTTGGCAAAGTTGTCAAGTTGACTGTGAAGTTGCGGCCATGGGGCTGTATGTGGGTCGGGTTTGATTAAGATGTAAATAATTGATGTCAGCTGGTTATGCTGCAGATACAGAGGTACATATAAGGCGCACCTTGGCAGCCCTCAGCATTGTCAACTTTATGGCATTCTCGCTGAGCTAGTGTGCGCCTTTATGGCTACGTTATGCACAAAGTCCCAAAGTTGTTGTGCAGCTGTTGTGGGAGAGAATGTCTTCGTTCGTTCGTTCGTTCGTTAATGTGCAGGAGGAGCAATGCACAGCATTCCTGGCACGTGTCTCTGTCCCTCAGAATGGAATGGGCAGACTAATACGAATGCCGAACGGATGGGCGGGGAGGGGGTGAAGCGGCTGCTGAAGGCTTGTTCAAATTCTACTTATAAGGCTGTACATTCATGTGGGTGCTGCATATGCCCATAAGTTGCATGCGGAAAAGCAATTAAAACTTCTTGAGAGCTTCGGAAATGTTCGTTCATATTTTATGATGTGTTTTCCTCAATAATGATAGTGCAAAAGCACAAACATGCACACACACACATGCACACATACAACCATGTTAACATGCACATATACAGGGCACACATACATGACACACATACATGCACATAAGCACATAGTCACACATGGATAAAAATGTCGCAAAACTCACAAGTCAACTAAATAATTTCAAGTGCAACTTGCAATGCAATTTTTTGGGTAAGAATATTGGATGCACAGCTGCGGGAAATAAAATAGACCCACTAACAAATATAAAGTCTAAGAAAAACTTTTCTATATTTATTTATCAATGTATTAATCTACTTATATTTTTATTGAAGAAAAAAACCAACAATTATTGCAACAAATGAAAATTTGCACAATAATATTTATCGTATTTATATATGTATTTAAAAAATTCTCAAAAAGTCGAAGAAATGCAAGTGGTGCTATTTTATTTTACGCTGCCGTATATATGTACATATATATGTATATATTTGGATATATGTAGACATACCATTTGCATGTCTGTTTTCATAAAATCTTATATAAATATGATGTGAGTACATGCCGTACTTGTTAAACTCTTAAATTGTTGCATGGAAATTAAAAAAAAAAATTGTTTACCACTAAACATATCCATATAAATATATTCCATATAAATATATATCATTTTGATTATAGATCTCATAATTTGTATACCATTAAACATTTTCTTATAAATAAAAGTAACATTTATTGAATGTTCAACAGAGAACAGATTATACATAAAGAAATTGGAAAAAAAAAAAAAAAAAAATATATATATATATA